TGGATTCTGGAGATCGCTGGGTTTTCGGGCTTCTGGGGATCGTTGGGTTTTTTAGGATAATTCTGGAGATCGGTTGGTTTTTAGGATTCCGGAGATTGCTTGGCTTTCGGATTTTTTAGAGATCACTTTGCAGTTCTGGTTCTTTGTTTTTTGAGATCATTGGTTTTCGACTTTCTGGAACATATTATATAAACATCCAGTAGGCTTGGTGAACAGAACCCGCACCCTTAAACGTGTTTGGTTCAGTCTTGTGGGACCACAATGTTTTTGGATGTCACTTTCTGTAGGAAGATAGTTTTTATTTGGGGGTGGCCCGTGTTTTTGCCTGGCAGGTGCATGCAGGTGCCCCTCATGGTCCAGGTCCTGAACCTTTGGTGCTGCCAACAGCTCAGGGCCAAGATGTTCTTGATGCTGCTAGCTTAGCTGCACTGTGAGAGTGCTGTTGGCTACACTGTGAAAGTCTTAGTAAATGCAGAGTGAAAGGATTGTGTTGTGAAATTGTTAGCAGCTATGTTACACTGTGATAGTGTTAGCAGATGGTTGCTGCCTGGCAATGTTTCATCACCGTGAGATTTGGGCTGGTGCTAGGCATCGATTGCATTATTGCATTTACCCTCATGACAATGAGGAGAGAGCAATCTTTTGAGTTGCCCTCGCCAGTCTCTGAGGGAGACTATATGCCTTGTCTGCTGGTGGCCATGGTGGTCGTGGTGCTTCCAAGGACTCTTTCATTCTTCCTTCAGATGTAGTTCGCAGGCTGCAGTAAGAAAATGAAGCTTTTCTATCCATTTTCCTGTTCTCAACACTTTCTCTCCACTGTCATCTCAGTTGGTTTGTGCCAAGGAAAGTGACATCGATGAGCTACAGATTGCGCCTGGAGATGGAGTGCGAAGAGCCTTGAAATTCAGCCCGCCCACCACCAAGAAACGACCTGCAGCCAAGAAGAATTACGCGGCCAAGAAGAAGCCAGCGGCTGACCACCTGAAGTCGAAGGTTGGGAAGAAAGCTGGCAAGGCTTCGGAGATGCCTGAAGACATGAGTTGCATCGAGCAGATTGAGGAGGCCATGAACCATAATGTGGCTAACCCTGAGGATGTCATGGAGTTCTACTCCAGGCCCCGCCTGGCTCCTGTGGCAAAGGCGATGGGCTTGGCTGCCTCCTTCAGCCTGGACATTGTTCACGGCTGGGATGCCTTGACAACCAAGCACTGTGAATATGCCATCTGGCTGCTGGAGTTCTTTCTCCCCAAGTTCCTGATGTGCAGCCCGCCATGCACCTTTTATTCCGCATTGATGAGGATGTGGAATTACAAGAAGATGACCAAAGCTCAGTTCCAGAGGCGCAAGCGGGATGCAGATGCTATGGTCAAGCAGGCAGTTGACTCATGTTTGCTGCAACACGCAAACAATCGGCTGTTTGCCTTCGAGCACCCAGCTACTTGCAGCAGCTGGGCCAAGTCTGCTTTGAAAAAAGCCTCAGGGACCAAGCGCACATACACAGTGTGCTTTGATCAGTGCGTTCTGGGCCTTCGCAGCCCACGAGGAACACCAATCAAGAAGAGGACACGTGTCTGGACAAACTCCCAAAGCCTGGTGAAGCTGTTGTCGAAGAAACAATGCCGCTGCACCAAGCCCCACAAGCGGATCGAAGGCAGCGAAAACGGGTGGCTGCTTTCCCGATGGTGCCAAGCCTACCCGCTGGGTATGGTGAAGGCTTTGCTGAACGGGGTGCAGGAGGACATGAAGTCACTTCTGTGACTCAGTGAGGCAATATAAGTTGCCATGCCAATTTATGGCAAGGATCAGGCCTGGCCGCCTTGCCCCTGGATGCAGCCAATTCAACACACAGAGTCGGCCATGGGCGTGAAAAAAGGAAACTTACCAGGCTTACCACTCCCTTTCAGATTTGCAGCCAGTGCGTGCCACTGTGAAAGTGTTTGGAGTGCTCTGATTGCTGCGGTGTTCTCACCGCCCAGGCCCTGCCAGTGAAGAGAAGGCAAGGAGCGCAACACATGTTGGCATCCCTGTTCACACTGTGAGGCATGGTTTGAGGCACACTGTGATAGTGTGAAACACGGCTTCAAGGCAATGAGCCAAGTTTGCACACTGTGACAGTCGTGATACGTTTTTTGGCATTGTTTGAGGGCACACTGTGATAGTGTGAAGCATGGCTTCCAGGCATTGAGCTGCAGCTGTGATCTGTTCGTTTGGACCTGGGCTGTTGCTTCAGCCATCGACCTTCGGTTCAAACTCGGCTTGCTGCCGGACCTCGGCTGGCATGTCGGAACACATGTCAATGTCAGATGCTCCGGAGGCTCCTGAGCCAGGTGACACTCAAATTGAGATGCCGCACCCGGGAGCAATGGCAGTAGATCAGGAGCCGGGGAGGGGCCTGTAGCTTGTAGGCTTAGATCTACATTCTTCCTTGGAGGTTCCCAAAGGCCCTGTCACTGCTGCCTGAGGAGACGATCGCAGGCAGCAAATACTCAGTGGAGCAAGAATGGCAATTGGGCCCAGTGGTTACATCAGAAACCACAGAGAAGACTTGCCACGCTTTGAAAGACTTGGTGGGCAAGGTTCTTGCAAAATTCGGTGGTCCTGAAGCCTATCTTCGTGCAAGGCTTTCAGACCAGAAATCCAAGCAGGATTGGCTGAATTGGTTGGGGGAAATTCAGCCTGAGAGCACTCGAAATTTCTCGACCAGCGTTGACCTGCCACCGTCTGACTTGAACTGTTTGCAGGAGGCCAGTTGAGATGTTTTCAAAGTGAGTGAAAGTAATTATGACAAAACAGATTTCAACTTATATTATTGTGAGAGTTTGAATGCACATGTTTGCAGGGTGAAACACTTTACCTTCCATTGGGCGCCTTTAGCATCAGCACTCATTCTACCATGCGTGGCCCTGCTGAGAATGATGTGGTCAGACTCTTGATCGATGAGATTCTCACTGACGGTTTTGTAACAAGTGGAGAGCCACTCTTGGTAACACAAAGTGCGGACTTGTTGTCTGAAATTCAGGAGCAGGTTTACAGTGGTTCTTTTTGGTTAATGAATGAACCATTTGAAGATGATTGCCATGACCACAGTGTGCTTGGGAGGACCCGCTGAAGGCGACTTGGCATTCCAAAGGCCTTGCATCACTGCAGCCTATGACCATTGGCTACTTCAAAGGACGCACGCGCGTGTTCTGCCTATTGACTTTGCTCAGCTTGATCCGAGACAACTTCTCACGAGGTTTGTCAGAGGCAGGATCGCTTGTCATTTGTGCCTGAATTCTTGTTAGCTGGATTCGAAAGAAGTTGCTTTTTGTTCAATCAAAAAGTCAGTGCAGGTTCATCCTAAGCTCCATCAAACCATTCAAGTGATCTTTGCGCAGCGTGTGAAGCTACCTTCGAAGAAGGAAGAGCTGTTGGGGAACTTTAAGCTCTCTGTGAGAGGGAGTATCAGGAAGGGGCCGAATGTAATGTCAGGTCCTCAGAGTGCGCAGATAGTTGTAAATGTCTTGTTGATTTTGTTTGTTTTCATTTGACACTGGGGGTGGCCAGTTGTAAAGGACTTGGATCACATCAGTGCTGCAGCTCGAAAACTACGATTCCACCTTGGATGTCGCGCAATTTGTTGCTTGACGCTAATCTGTGAATGCTGCTGTTAGCTGCAGGGTGCCACCCATGAATCTGGTACAGGGGGCTGCTGCTGCTGCAATTGTCATTTGTGTCTGAGGTGCGTGATCACAATTCACAGGCATCTGGTGCAGGAAGGCTTGTGGGCGCAAAGGCCCAGGCAGTCAAAAACATCCTGGGTCAGGTGCCAAAGGATGTGCAGCGATTGCTGTCAGACTTCACCAGGGAAGTTGGCTATGAAGCTGCACCTTGGGCCGATGACTGCTTGGGCTCAAAGCGCTGGTTGCCCGGACATATGTTACCCGGCTGATGTTTTCATGTCATTTTCAGTTGTAAAATATGTATCCCAGCATCAGTTTTTGTTCCACTCCAGACAGATAGGTTCAAATCCAGTGGCGGGGGCAATGCAGCCAGCCAAGCCCGCGGGAAGGTCACAGCTGAGAGCTTGGAACTCTTTGTGCCTTGATGGAATTCCTCTGTGAGAGTGGCATCACTGTGAAAGTGATGGGCTTCCACTGTGGGAGTGATGGGCTGTCACTGTGAGAGTGATGGCAGTGTTGAGATGCATTGAGAGTGAAGAGGTTAAGATGACAGTGAATATTTGGAAGGGAGATTGAGATGTTTGAGATATTTGTGAACAAACTCCATGCGCATACGAAACCTCCAGGTACTGGCCGTGATCCAGCAGTCCAGGATGTATTCCAAGGGCGGGATATCAAAGGTCAAGCTTGACCGAGTCAACTGGGATCGGATGGCAGAGGAGGCGGCCCTGGTGTCAGCACTGGCTACAGAGGTTCAGAATGTGCTTCCCATTGAGCGGGATACTTTGTGGGCCAGTTGGCAGCAGCGTTACATTGACGGAGACCAGGCTGTGCTGGTAGAGGTGCAGAGTTGCATCATGAACAACAAGTCAGGCAACCTCCGCGACATCAGCACATTGAATCAGCTACTCCAACAGCATGCGGCCAGTTGTCCTGTCCCAGCTGCCGCAACAGTCAGCATGCAACAGCTTGAGCGGGATTCCTTCGATTTGGTGATGCGTCAGCTTCAGTATGACTTGCAGGTGCTGCGAGTCACTCGGCAGAAGAGAGCAAGCTGGGCTGCCAATGTGTATCATGTCAAACTCTCCCATACGATGGCACGCCATGGTGAATCCGTGAAAGCAGCCACTTGGTTCATGTCCAACTATGTAAAGTTGGTTGTCTCTGAGAAGTCTGACGAAATGCTCCGGGAGTTTCAGATGCATCGACAGCAGGTCATCCAGCGACTGCGGCTGGATCAGGACAGCTGTGTCACTTGTCAGGGTCTGTTTGGCTTAATTTTTGTATCTCCTGGCTATGCAAAAATCATCAACCTTAATGAATATGGCTTGATTGGGTTGGGATCAGGAATGACACTGTGAGAGTGTCAGGGAATCACGACCTTAGAAGCCCCTCATGTTTTTCTTGCCTAGGCCAACTTTGTGTTTGTCAATTGGCTTGCGCCACGCACATTGAAGAATATGGTACAGACTTCTCAGACACAGTTTGCCTCACACTGCATTCTCAGCTCGGAAAAGAACTTTGGCGCAGCCCTCATGCCAATCTTCACCTACAAGCGGGGGCAGCTATGGATGTTGGAAAGTGCCACCATCCGGAGCTTGGCAATGACAGGTCTGAATGTCGACTCTTCCTGGCATCTATCCTTCTCCAAGAAGGTGCGAACACAAAGTGTAAGTGGTATTCTTTGCATTTTAATTTTGGAAGGTTTTTTTCTTGGCTGGGCACTGGGTTCTGTTGACAGCCCCCAGGCGGACTTGCGTGATGGAAGACCATGCAACTATCCAGGAAGATTGCTTCTTCACCCAACTTCCAAGGACAAAACTTGGATCAACACGGCCTTGGTAAAGAATGGACGCACTGCGGATGCAGAGATGCCCCACTCGCGGGACATGTTAACGGTCGAAGACATTTCAGATGATGCTCTTCCTGCCACAGTTGATGATGACCAATCGACGGTCCAGGGAGCCCAGAAGTATCAGCAGGCATGCGGTGTTTGTTCATCAATCAAGCTGGGTCCCATATTTAACAGAACATTGGTTCATTACTCATGAGGTTTGTGACAGTGTTGGAATTGATTGCAATGTAGATACCCTGACCCTGCAGTATGGTGCCAATGCAGCCGCAAAGATTCTGGACAGTGTCCTCGATGGGCTCAGTCTTGATAGCAGCGGAGCTTTGTTTGTGATCGATGCCAACGCAGGTGTTGGGAACCTCTTCGATGCCTTTGTCCAGAAACGTGCCACGGTCAACTTCAATATGCACTATGTAGCTGTGGTTTCAGATCAGATCCAGTGTGACTGGTTCCATGAGACAAAGGCCACTGTGAAAATGTCACTGTGAAAGTGTCACTGTGAAAGTGCAACTGTCATTGTAAAGCAAAGAGTGATTAACTGTGACTGTGCATGCGGTCAGGTGCAGTGGCTGGCTGCTGAGCACCAGAAGAATTCCATCACGATCCCTGGCCATCAACCTGCAAGCAGTGAGTGCCCTGCAGATTTGCTCGAGAAGGAACCGGAGCTGCCAAAGCTCAACCTGATGAAGAGCCGGAAGGATTTATACCCGGAGATTCCGGATACCCTGGTGCGGACCTGGGCCCACACAGAGTTCGCAGAGGACATCCAGAAGCTTCAGGACCAAATCCATGAGGAGTTTGGTGAGGCCCCACCTGATCCAGAAGCAAGAAGGAGGAAGAAGGGGTCAAGACTCCCACTTCAAACAAGAGAAAGAATGCCGGAGGTGGTGATGACAGCGCCAAGCGAACCAAAGTCGATCGTGCCAAGATTCTGCCAGCAGATGAACCTCAGATTTTCTCTGGGTAGTTTTTCATTTTTTGATTGAAGCATGGTGTGACAATCTGCCATTGATTCAAAGCCGAACGTTTGTGATTTTTTGTGATCAAGGACGCGAAACTCATGGAAGAGAAGCTTCTCGAGTGCCCTATGCTCAACAAAGCTGGCCAGCTCCAGATTCTCATCAAGACCGGCAACAGGCCCTACCTGGTCAACAAGAGCGATGCCTCGCAGAGCTTGCCGGCAGGAACAGTGATCGCGGCCTTCGGAAAGGGTCGCTTCAAGCGGGTGATGCCCAATGCTCCAGCTGAGGGAGATGATGCCCGGAAGGAGATCAAGTACCACTTGGAAAGGCCAGAGCAGTTGTTGCTTCACAATGGCACCTTGTGTGCCTTGAGTGAGGTCGTGGAAGCCAAGCGCAAGTCAGGGCAGCCTGGCACAAAGTTGGCCTACCATGAGATGGTGGATGATCCTCAGCCCTCCCAGCCAGGGTCCTTTACCCTGAAGCAGACGCACGATGTTCGATTTGTGCCCCAACCTGCCGCAGAGGTCAAGACTGAGACTGAGGGTGGTGCCTCGGGATCCTCAGGCCAACAGGCAAGCCAAACCAGCCTGGCAACCCTTTTGCCACCACAAGCTTGGAAGAGTTCCTTGACTTGATTTGGGTAGATTTGCCAGTTGATTTCAGACACCTCACTGAGCAAACAAGCAAAGATTCAAAATGGTCGGACTGACTGGCTGAGGTCATTGCACTGACATCATCTTTTCAGTGAAGTGGGCAGCAGTTGGCTTGAGTCCCATTCGGCCACTGACCAAGGACCTTGAGCTCCCAGCCGGTCGTGTGGTGGCCCTATTTTGAAAGCTTAGCTCTTTTTGAGCAAGCGATGCCTGAGCAATCTGAACCACATATCATGTTGGTGCATTCAGACAAATCAATTGAGCCCTTGGCTGTTTATTTTGTGGTGAATCTTTGTTCACAAAAAGGCATTGCTGCGCGTATTCTTGGCCCTGGCCACTATTGTCCTAGCATGTGCCAGCCATTTCAGGGAGGCTGCCATGGTCCAAACCGAACCTTCAAAGCATTGAGGGAAAGATGGGTGAAACGATCTTGCGCGCAGCTCATCATGGAACATGAATGAAGGGGGTTGTCATGAAGAATGTCCAATGCTCCAGGCTTATGCCAGATGATTTTTGGAGGCCAAGCCCATACACTGACACTGTGAGAGTGTCACTTGCTTTTGCTGAAAGATTGTGAGCTAAGGACACTGTGAAAGTGTCACAGTATTTTGCTGAAATATTGTGAGCTAAGGACACTCACTGTGAACGTGTCATGGTATTTTGTGGAAACATTGTGAGCTAAGGACACTGTGAAAGTGTTAGTTTGATTGGAGTGGCCCCATTTGTTGCCGCCCGCAGTGCAAAGATCGACAGACCTACAGCAGCACTCCTCCAGCGTTGCCCATTGCCATGCCAGCCGGTCTGCAACAAGATTTGCGGGAGCCCGATTTCATGGTGGCTTTCTTCAAGGTTGAATTCCATTGCTGGTTCCTGAGCCCGCTTTTTGCAACCAGAGCCAGACTGACAAATAAATGACAATGAGTTGCAAAGAACCAAGGTCGTTTGAACATTGAGGGCCACTACACTGGGCCGGCTCTTTTTTTCTTGGGGCGTTCTGAAGAATGCACGGATGTGCATTACATGCTGGTGGAGGTGGTCGGTTCACAATGCAAACCGCAGTTTTCCCCGCCTGTCTCCTACCAGGAGGAGCTGGTCCAATTGAATGAAGACCCGATTGTGTTTGCGAGCGGGTTTTTTGTTCATGAGCCAAAGATTTGTTTCCTTCCGCTTGAGGGTGTTTCCATTACAGATCAGCTTGTGCCAGATCCTTTGGTAGCTCATGCAATTTCATGTCCAGTGCTCCGCTTGGCTCCTGTCAAGTTTGAAAGCATGCGCGCGGAACTCTACCATGACCAGCCTCTTGGCAGCATGTACTATTTAGGCTTGTAAGCGCCTTCAAGTCTGTGAACTTGCCTTAAATGAGTGCAGATCAGACTCCGAGTTGCACTCAGACTTAAGGCAGGCTAACAGACTTTTCAGCTTTATGGAAGGATGAAATACACCGGGCAAGCTGAACAGCCAGAGTGAGCAGACTGAAGTCTTCTCACTCTGTCTGTCCAAGCTCCGACACTTTTCAGCTTTATGGAAGCATGAAATGTGCTGGGCAAGCTGAACAGCCAGACTGCAAGCATAAACTGAAGTCTCACTCTGCCGTGCAGGGCCTTGCGTTTTGTCTCGAAGTGTACTGTCCCGCTCCATGGGCCTGAGGCCTGAAGCTGTGGCCTGCTGAGAGAGGTTCAATATTGAGATGTGGTACAGGACATGGCCTTTTGATTTTGAACAGCCAGTTCCGTTTTAGGATACAGATTCCCTGCGGTGCTTGATGCAGTTAGCCGGTTCGGGCTGAAAAGAACCTGACACGATTCGATGTCTGATAGGCTGTCGCAAGAATAGAGTAAGCGCGTTGTGAATGCCAAGTTGTCAAGTCAACACGCACACTCATTGAGAAACTGGCATGGATGTCACATTTTGCAGTTTTTTCCTGAAGTCAATGTAAATTAAAAGAACACTGTGAAAGTGTCGGGTTTGCAAAAGACTTAAATACAATGACTATGTATATAAGTGTGTCGATATTGCTGCGGCAGGTGAAGCTCAAATATGAGATCATTGATGACCAGAGGCTGGGCCAGGTTCCACAATTTTGTTAATTTTTAAGCATGTTGATTTTAAAATGCTAAATTTCTTTGAGCATTGTTCATTCATGTGAGGAAAAATCTACCATCCCCCAAATTCAATATCATTCTCATAGTGTTTTGCCCAAGAGTTCAACTGTGATGCCAGGCTTTTCAATTTCTTGGCAGAGAATCAGATCAGTAGCCAACCCAGTGCTTGCCAACCTGGCAGTGAGAGTGTCACTTGCTAAGGACGCTGTGAAAGTGTCACTGAGGGCTCTCTGAAAGTGTCACTGAGTCACTGAGGACACTGTGAAAGTGGTACTGTTATAAGCTGTTGAATAGTTTCAAATGCTTTCATTGAGGTCGTTGGCCACTAACCTTTGCAGCTGCTACTGCTGAGGGTATGGGCCAGCGATTCTTCTCACATTTAAGGGAAGGATCTTTGAGACTAGAGCTTGCGAGTCCCGGCAAAAAAAGTGAGTGGCCATTGATTTGCCCATCCTTTGTGACAGTCTCATTGTACTGTGATGTCAAACTGCTGAAACTCCTTAAAAGTTTGTAAAATTTAATGTTACAGTGTAAAACTAATGAATAAAGGGCTGGTGACACTCTCAAAAAACTGGTGGCACTCTCACAGTGTTCCAGCCCAAAAATATTCAAAACACTGGTGACACTTTCACAGTGTTCCTGGCCAAAAAATAAAAAATCTAATGACACTCTCACAGTGTATGGCATTTTCCCAGATTCAAAAAAAACAAGAGTCTTCTGAAACTGGGTTGTTGGTGCCATTCGATTCTCCAACAAATGCCCCACCCACCCACCCACCACACAAAATCTTCCAAACCCGCAACTTCCAGAGCCCCAAAGGGCACACTTACAAGTGACAAAGGTCCAGTTACAACTGGTGGAGTTTGCAACCATCTGCGGAGATCGTGCGTGTCGAGTGCGCGAAATGCAGGCGAGAGTGCGATTTGCCGGCTACCCGCGCAACCCTCTGCGGAGATCGTGCGTGTCGAGTGCGCGAAATGCAGGCGAGAGTGCGATTTGCCGTCTGCCCGCGCAACCTTCTGCGGAGATCGTGCGTGTCGAGTGCGCGAAATGCAGGCGAGAGTGCGATTTGCCGGCTGCCCGCGCAACCCTCTGCGGAGATCG